TGGGGCGTTAATGTGAGAAGGAGAAAGTGACTCTCAGACCATATCTTGCAGTCTTTGTGGCTTGCCATGTAGAAGATGTCTGCAGAATCTTTTGTTGTTCCTCTCTGGTGGTAGGGATCAGACCCAGGGCCTCATCTGTGTTAAGCACACACTCTACTTCTGAGCTAAACCTGGAGCTCCAAGATTATATTCTTATATGTTAGAGTATGATCTTTGGAGTCAGAAAAACATGGAATCGTATCTTGTCTCTAATGCTTTCTGTGTGTTGGAATCCTCTCACATCTCTGTCCCTTGGTTTGTTTTTCTGAAGTATCTGTATACTAATTCCTGACAGAGCTGATAAGACAATGTTAATACAGCTCTTAGCAGGGTACTCAGTGAGGAGCAGGGCAAAGACGTGGCAGCCCTGTTGACGTTCAGTATAGAATCTGACTTTATGATAAGATTTGCACCTTACTAATATTCATGATTTCAACATCTGGCTCATGGAAGCTATGCAAACCGGTATAAAATAAACACTGCCCATTTTATTTTCTATATTCACATGCGTCATTTCAGATGAGACTGTTTTGTATTCCTTCTTTTAGAAAACATATAAAAAGACTAAAGCTTTGCAATTTTGACCTATTACTCTATCTCAGATTTAATTTTTGTAGTGAGATATGTAGTATATTTGTCCAGTTTCTTAACATCTCAAGACAGGTTCAAAATGAAATACTGTTAAATGGGTATAATTAGCTATTTTTACAATAGTTCTCTAAATACTCTGATAATTATTTGCTTTTGCTCAAATACTGTGTGCTGTAAATGAAAACAAATCAGATCACTCAAAAATCAGAATTATCAGTATTTAGCATTGCTCCAGATGTTGGAGACAAACTGAATGGAAGCATTACAGCTTTGATTTGGCAGTTAAGTGACATTCAATGAAAGAACTTGGCTATTTAAAATTATAAACTCACTCAAGCCCTTAATCAGTCAAATTAAAATGGTTCATTTTGAGCAGTTTAATAACATTGATAACAAATACCTGCTGACGTGTTCTGTCATCCAGTCATTTCTTCACCTCCTAGACACAGGTGAAGGGATCACGGGTGAGTTTGTCCTGTGCTGAATAAAGAAATGGCTTCATTTAATTACCAGTTGCAGAGAAGTCGCCCTAAAGCTTCCCTTCAGTATCTTCAAACACCATCGAACCTACTCTTATGTAACTAAATATCCTACTTTGACCTTTTGCCAATTTCAAACTTGCATTTTTCTCTACTACCATGATATCACCTCTGTGGTATGCTTTGTGGAGATGGCTCCTATTTCCAGTCTGAACGTTGTTTCCAGTCATGGATCTTTAGGACACAAACTCCTCAGAGTTCAAAGTCAGCTGAGATCATGCTCTAAAACGTTCGGGGATTTATTTGTTCTTTTCCCCAGGAACCTCATGTGGTACCATGTGCTAGTTGCTATGTCCACATGTTTTGACAACCTTATGAACTGCTCCTATCACTTATCATGAGTACAAGTCTCTGTCCTTTTTGACTCTGATACACTACTCCAGAAATCATGTGTAGGAGCCATCGTTTTTATATTCTTGGTGGCCAACACAAGGCCTGTAAGGCATTGTTTTAGTGACTTGGCTCTTGTAAGGCCAGCAAGCATCGAAGTGCTTAGAGAAGTTCTTTTGTCCCAAGAAGCATTGGAGAGGATGCTGATACAGGGACACGGGAGCTGCAGGTGAACACCGAACAGGAGCTAGTACTGAATGGAGCCTCTCCTAGCAGTTGGAGACTGTCAAGGAAAAGGGAGTCTTTGCAGACCTGGCCTTTCTCTCCTTGTGCGCTCTGTCTTCTAAGCTGCTGTCATTGCTTCCACTGACAATTGAAACGAGAAATCAGAAGATGTGGGAGTTCATGACGTGAGCTCTACACGGTGCAGAGTAGGGGAAAAGAAAAGGAATGTCAACTGAGTCCTGCAAGAAAGGTCAACTGGAAAAGATCCAGCCTGTGGGAGATTCTAAGATTCTCTATCCTAGCCAGCAGGATTCTAGTTATACCAGCCTGCTCGCTATATGACATTCATTCAATCTTTACTCATATGCAGGCAATCATACCGGGAATTGAATACAAGGAGTGGCCTTGGTCTGATCTATCAAGGCAGATGATGTGCGTCTCCTGCTTACTAAACTGAATCTCTTTTTGTCTTTATTGGGGTAACTTAGAGGTAACTTGAAGGGGAGAGAACAGGTAGGCAGCCAGGCTGGGGGGCTGAGAGCCAGTTGGTTAAGTTTAAGGCTATCAGTATTTAGAGGTCATCAAGCCTACTTGTATATGTACACTGAGAATCAGCCTTCTCTGGTCCTGAGAATGGAGAGCAGAACATGCCCCTTTGATATCCAGAAGATAATTGGTTGATGTGTTTATGGTCTTAAATGCAACTTGCAAGTGGAGCATAGAAGATTGGAACATCACACTTATTATTGAGCCTCTGTACCTTTCTTGTGCCTCTGTGACCTCGTCTCACACTCTTATTTGTGAATATACTCTTTGTAATGACTTCTACAGTTCCAGTAAGGAACTCACTTTCTGCATATAGCCTACTGAGTCTATCAGAGCTCCTTAATCACAGAAGATAGCTTCTGGAAATATGTAGCTTCTAGAAAGAATGGATACTTTCATCCGTATTCTTTCCAATCATACTGAAAGCCACTCAATTTCAAAAGAGTTTTCATAAGGTTTATGGTGTTTTTAATGGTATGCTTTATTCTGTATCATCCACCAAAGCAGTTCTGTTGCACTGAACTCAAAATGTGGTAGGTTTCTCTTAAAGAATGGGTTTCAGGCTTTTCTCATTTTCCTTACCTTTATTCCAGGTTTTAGAATTAATTCATATTGTGAAGTTACAAGGTGGTGGGAGGAGAGAAGCAAAACCTATGTTTAAGGATCAAAACTCATACTAACATCACATTAATGTCAAGAATAGCAATGGTTTCCTAAAATTTATATTTTGGATGTCAATTTTAAAATTACAAGATACAGTACATTTCTATATTTTGTATAGAGATTCAGGTTCAAATGGAAATCTGAGTGACTAGGTGGAAAGTAACTACGGAATACTTCAAAGGAAGGTAGATAGACAGGCCATTTAAGTTTAAATATTAGCATTATTAGGTTCAAAGTATAGTAGGCATTATTTCAATATTGTTTGTGTGTGTGTGTCTGCACTTTTTGGTATTTACAATATTACAAACTTAAGATACTAAAACTTAGAATTTTACTTTAAAATGCAGTTGTATTGGTAATGTTTCCTCTTTCCCTGCATCTCAATTCTTGCTCAAGACATATGGGGTTTTTTGTTTATTCGGTTGCTTGCTTGCTTTTACTTTCATGTGAATTATGGATAATTTCAAGCATAGGTTTAACTTTACATTGACTTCTGTTGTGACAAATGGAGTCACCAGCTTGTATATCATGCTAATCATTTAATTATAGTTCTTAAAACTTCTCTTTAAGAGAAATAGCACCAAGTTTTAGAAGCATAACACGGGAAGAATAAAAATCTTCCAATAATCTAGTTATTACAAACAATGAACATAGCTGAACAAGTGCTCTTGTGGTGTGATTGAGCATTCCTTGGGTATATGCCCAAGAGTGGTATAGCTGGATCTTGGGGGAGATGGATTCCCAATTTTCTAAGAAAGTGCCATATTGATTTCCAAAGTGGTTGTAAAGCTTGCATTCCCACCAGCAGTGGAGGAGAGTTCCCCTAGCTCTACATCCTCTCCAGCATAAGGTGTCTTCAGTGTTTTTGATCTTAGCCATTCTGACAGGCGTAAGGTGGTATCTCAGAGTTATTTTGATTTGCATTTCCCTGATGATTAGGGATGTTGAGCAATTCCTTAAATGTCTTTCAGCCATTTGAGTTTCCTCTGTTGAGAATTCTCTGTTTAGTTCTATAGCCCATTTCTTAATTGGACTGTTGGGCATTTTGATGTCTAATTTCTTGAGTTCCTTATATACTGCTGGCAATGGTCGCGATACAGCCCGAACTGACCTACTCTGGTGATGGGATGGCCAAACACCCTAATTGTCGTGCTAGAAACCCCATCCAACTACTGAGGGATCTGGATGCAGAGATCCATGGCTAGGCCCTGGGTGGATCTATGGGAGTCCAATTAGCAAGAATGAGGAGGGTTTATATGAGCAAGAATTGTTGAGACCAAGGTTGGATAAAGCACAGGGACAAATGGGTGAGACAGTTGATTGGCTTGATCTGTTTGGGAGGCATCCAGGCAGTGGGACCGGGTCCTGTGCTCATTGCATGAGTTGGCTGTTTGAAACCTGGGGCCTATGCAGGATCGCTTGGCTTGGCCTGGGAGGAGGGGACTGGATCTACCTCGACTGAGTCTACCAGGTTGATCTCAATTCTCGGGGGAGGCTTTGCCCTGGAGGAGGTGGGAATGGGGGGTGGGCTGGGGGGAAGGTGAGGGGGGCCGGAGGGGGGAGAACAAGGGAATCCATGGCTGATATGTAGAACTGAATTGTATTGCAAAATAAAAATAAAAATTAAAAAAAATCTTCCAATAATCTATACCCACCGCAAACCCGGAAAGCAACTTATTCTATGAAATTGAATTTAGCTTTCTGTATTATGCCTAGAAAATTACAATTTGGAAATAAGGTCACTATGGTTTTTTTTTTTTTTTGTATCCAAGGTATTCAGAAACACTATACATTGCTTTCTGATTTTCTTCTTATATATATAATAACTCTGAGGTAAGATATATATGCAAATTTTCTCCATTATTTATAGTACTTAGCTTCATTTACTTATTGACAAATATTGGTAGCTTTCTTTATTTTTAAGATACGAGAGATAGAGATACCAAAATAATTCCTTGTGGACATTTTTGCCTTTGAATTTGAGAGAATGTGACAGGATGTTGTCTTACCAGTTTTCATCCTCACAGGACTTTGGTCATTCCTCCCTTCTCTGTTGATATATTTCAGGTGATGCTGAAGGTACCCAGCAGCCAGCAGAATCAGATGGGGACAGCCATTCTGACAAACCCGGACATCCTGGAGTAGACACAGATGACTGGGATGGGCCAGGTAGGATGGAGAATAAAAACTCAACCCACTTTCACTTTTTATCAGGATTTCACATTTTTCCCTTTAAATTTTAGATAGGAAGGAGAGGTGGAAAAATAAAATATAGATAGCTTGTAAAACTTCTAACAAATTTTAAACTCAAATTGAAAATCATCCATGGGCTTTGTGTGTGTGTGTGTGTGTGTGTGTGTGTGTGTGTGTGTGTGTGTGTGTGTGCATGCTGGCTATGTGGGAGTTTGAGTAAACATCATTATTTAAATAAGAAAACTTTAAAAACCAGTGTTACCTCAGCTTGAGGTCTCTATCTTTTCTTCTTTCATTCTTACATAAAGTTAGTCAATTCTATTTGCTTGCTCTTTCAACAGAGAATCTTTTAGCTACATCCAAATTCAAATCAGGCTCAGTTTGCAAGCTTACAAATCAGTGGGTAACAATGCCACTTCAAAGAACTGTCCTTTCCCTTTAGTTCTGTTGGCAGTCACAGATGGAGCCTCAGCATTTATTTAGACATTGAGTCACAATTCACAGATCTTCCCCTTTGGTTCAAGGTTCTGGCAACCCTGTCACCTTTATGAATAAAATTAAATGGGCTCTTAAAGGGCCTTATATTTGTTCATTTCAGGAAAAACAAAAGACGAATCAAAACTTAATATTAATGAGTCATAAATATATACTGTTTATAATAATAACGCTGTGGGAAATTACCTTATTGTTTATTGCTAAGTAATTCATAATTTATGATAGGCTTATAAATGGAGACCATCATGTCTTTAGACTTTTAGGATATAAGTGAGTTTTGAAATAGTTTCAGCCTTCATTTCCAAAGCGCTAACCTTTTTCATTAAGAAAGATCGCTATATTTCAATCACATTTTCACCCTTGCATGACTTTGCAAATTGCCCTCTGCTGTGCAAGGGAAAGAGAGGAAATCCAGTGATAATTTTCTGAAACCAGCAGCTGGAAAATGTAATGCAAACAAAAATGAAGATACAGTATATCTGATTATTATGATGTCATTTCTAATGTTATTCATGATACATGCAAATGTTTGTAGTCTACACACTATAGCATATTGCTATACAAGAGTCTGGACCCATTTTTATTATATTTTAAAATACCGTAGGAACACGTTTTAAGAGATTTTAATGCATTAATTTAAATGCAAACTTCTGGTATTTGTATTTTGTTGCATATTTTTTCCTGGCTCCTCAATGTGGGGGTATTTTCTTAGAATAATTAGAAACTAATATCTTTTCAAAAAATCTTAGCTTTATTATGAAGCTACTATAAAACTTGAAAATTGTACATGATCTTTTATTTATTACAGTTATTTATTAATATAAATAAATATTTGTATTTAGGAGGTATTTTGCCTTTCCAGTTAGACTGGATGGGTTTTAGATGTTTCTATTTGAAAAATGATACATTCAGTCACACATTTGTTTTGGGCAAATTGGTGGAATCGGACTTCCCTCTTTGTACCTAGGGCTCATGGCCTTCCCGGTCGTGTGACAGTCAGGAAGCAACAGTGTCCTTTGCTGCTGAGCATGCTCAGAATAGCTGATGCCATCTTTGGGAAGCTTTTGCTGAAAGAATACTATTAATAGTTGGAGATATTGAGTAAAGAATGATGCTTGTCATTCAGGTGTGTTGTTTAGTTTTTGTTTAAATTAACTTACATGTTTCACTGAATGTATTTTTTTTTTAACATTGTGGATTTGGTACAGATATTACTGTGTTCTGTACCAAATGGGAATATGTCAAAACTTTAAGGGAAAATATATGTCTCTTTTATGCTTATAAGACCCCCCATCCTTGTATATTATAAGGTGAATACTGCATTTTTCCCCATAGCTACTTCTGGCAGGGGAAGGCTGCCTCACTTTGAAACTCCTTGAAATAATGAGGTTAGCCCGTAACAATAGAATCTCTTTGATGTTTGTATGTTTGTTCCTTTTCTGGTAGCATGCTCATTGATTTCATTCGTTTGGGAGAGTTTATGAAAGAAGGGAAGGCATTTTTGCAACCTTTTGCTACTTCAATATCAATTGCTTTAACATAGGTAACTGATTTTTTTGTTCACTAGAGTGCTTTGGGACTTTACACCTATATCAAAGATAAGAATTTCCAACATTTGGTGACAGTTCCAAACTTAGGAACTAGTGCGTCAGGATTCCAAACTAAGTCCTAGGTTGGGATTAGCTTTCCCCTTGACTTGTCAATTTCCACCTGGGGGATCTGTGGAACACTGCTTCATTTCTTGTTGCTGTATATTCATTTGTAAAGTGTAGAAAATGTTACTGATATCTCCAAAACTGCACCAGCTCAGAATCATAAGGCATTAATGTGGTTTTCTTTTTCCTTACAGTTTTGCAACTGCTATGTCTCAAAGGTTTTTAAATGTCCCACAGAGTATCTAAGACCCTGAAAGGTAAAGTTAGGTGGTACTAAACATTAGTTTTCCATTTATCACAAATCATTGCTTGAAACATCTAGCATTGGGCCCAGTTGATTTCAAGGTCTCCTAATTTCACACCCCTGCTTCCCAATGCTGACACTCATCCTAAGAGTGACAGTTTTCTATAAAAATAGAACAGAATCAAAGGATGTAGAAATTATCTAAGGAATTTGAAGCATAGTACTGACATCATTTAAGATGGATCAGGATTTATCTTATTTTATGGAGTTTGATTGAAGACGACTGCATAACCTTCCTTGATGGCTTGAGTTCAATAATGAATCAACCCTGTCTGAGAGATTCTATTTTTATAAAATTCAAATTCTCCCATGTAAGAAAGTTATCCTTTGTTTGTCATTCAGTGAAAAGATACACTCCGAAGTTGTAACTATTCACACCTTTGTTAGCTTCTAACTGGCACCTAAACAAGCAAAGGAAATAATGTTTGTAAGGAGCTAGGCTGAGGAATTTTTCAGTGTTTCAACGTTTGTAATTCTTATGTAAGCAGCATGAATCATTTAAGTTTGGAAAGCCAGAAGCACACTCTTAGTAAGGCCAAAATAAAAGTCATTACCTCATCATTTCAGCATTTCATATATCTACTTTTCAAGTTCATTGTTTTCCTTGCTTTTAAAGATATTATCCTGACACTTCTTTGGAGTGTATCACACAGTGCTTGCTGCTCAGTCTTATTCCTGTATTCACCAGTATTATTCTTACATTATTTGTCCTCTTTCAAAGTAAGTGTCTCTTTTTCATTAGCCTCGTGAATTTTTTATTTTGTCTGAGTCACAGGTTCTTTGTTTTACCAACATTTATACTCGTTTAATTACATACTTCATCCTTCGATGGATGTTTTTTGGGGACTGATGGTGAAGAGCTCCAGCAAGCAATGTAGAAAGACTGCATGACACCGGCCTGCAACCGCTTCTCTTCGCACAGTTTCTCTTCTATAATTGATCATAGACTGGTCACTAAAGCAATAACTAAGCATCCTTTATCCTTGAAAGCAGAGCACAGTCTACACTACAGAACAAAGTGTTTACACAGTTTAGAGTCAGACAGACCTAAGATAATAGTGAAATTTATGGCCTCATGTGTTGGCTTGTTCAACAGAAAGTCCTCAGTTTCTTTATCTTTGAAATGGGTATAGTGATATCCGCTTAGCAACGTTTTTATGAAGATGAACTTTGAAAGAGATAACCTGAATAGGGTTTCCAACACCACACTTGCTGGGATTCAGTGTTGGCAGTCTTCTTCTGCCTGTCTGTGGCCCCTAGAGAAATGTTTTTAACATGGTCCTCTTAGACCAGCCAATGCTTGAAATATTGATCATATTTTGGAAATACCACTCATGTCTCTGTCTTTTTCATAATTCTTCAGAACTACTTTGCAAGGCTGGTCTGGAGTACTGATTTATGGATTGGGATTTAGGAACTTGGTAGAAGGGTCAGCAGCCTACTTGTAAATCCGTTGTCATCTCTGAGAGAAGCTTCGCAGCAACCGCACTCACTTAGACCAACTCAGGACGCCAACAGTCTGCTTGCATTCTTAAACTTGGCTTCTTCTCACACTTGCAAACAGTGAATAACTGGCTTCTCTTTCATAGTATCAAGTGAATGTTACCATAATGTGTTTGCAAATGCAACTTTTCAAACCATGTGTATTCACCTACACCTATACAGATAAAAATTTTGACAAAACAGCTATTTGCCGTTCTTGGCACAACTTTTATTTCAATTGATCTTGATATTTAGGTATTAAACCTGTGATCATATAGGTGAAATGAAGCAAAAAATCCAGTCCTGAATAGACAATTTAATAAATGAAAAGAGTTACATTGTAATAACATTTAAAGTTATACATAATAAAACATCAGAACTTTCTGCTGTATATTATAGGTAAGTTATTTTGGGAAAATGTCAGGAACTGTATAACAAATATATTTTCTCTGTGTATTTCTTGGGTGGCCTTGGTATAACTAATAATATGACTCAGAGCAAGTTAATACTGCTCTGTGGCCTTAGTGCTTATAAATCAGGCTAATAACAATAACCACCTCATTAATGAGATTTTACATGTAAAGCATGGAGCTCAGTGTTTCAGAAGCACTTAATAAATCACTCTTAATATTGATTTTACTATCACTTTGGCAATTGTGCCTCAGTAGCTGTTACAATGCCTACTATAGAAGTCTTCATTAAACATTAGTACAGTGAATTAATTTTGCAAAATGATCTTGCTCTATAACAAAACATCATAATGTTATGTTTACTCTGCTCTAGTCTCCCTGACTGGAAACATAATTCAGATAGAAAATTTTGAGTGTAAATACATTTTGAAGAATAATTGCATAGGACAAAGTCAAGTGTGTGTACTTGTTGCACAGAGACTGAACATTGTTTAGGAAACCCTTACTAAGTTACCTCTTATGCTGTTGTTCAGGACTTTGGGTATATGAAGGTGATTGGGCTTTCTCTGCTTTGTGTCTGAAATGAACCTAGCAAGAAGGGAGCTGTTTTGCATGATGTGGAATGGTAGC